AGGACGCCTGGGTCCCATTCCTGGGCTCAGTCCCAGCAGAGGGGAGCAGAGCAGAGCCTGGGGCCGTCTGCCCTGATGTCCTGTGTGTGCCAGTGGCTGGTTGGGGGGAGTGCGGGACCCCTGCACGGATGGGGTCACCTGCTGGAGCCAGGTTCACGCCCTGAGGCAGGAGCTTTTCTCTGGGTTATTTGGTGTAACTGGATATTTCTGTTCTCCATGAAACCGTCTGCATCCCGCTGAGTCCTTGGCCTGAATGAGAGCTTGTGGCAGAGAGTTCCAAAGGCTCACGGTGCTCTCTCTGCTCTGGAAGCCAATGGCCTCCTTTCCTCAGCATTGAGCCAGGCTCCTGAAACCTGCCACCCCCTTCCTGCCCCCTGGCTCCCAGGCCACCACCTTCACTCCTGCTTGGCTGCAGAGTGGGTAGGGGGTGAATCCGCAGTCCTCCTGTCGTGACAGATGCTTATGGAGCCCTGGGCCGTGGGGCTGGAGCTGGGAACTGGATCTGTGCAGGCTGCAGGTAGCTCCCCGATTCCACGCAGCCTGCAAACATCGAGCGGGGCCAGGCAAGGCGGCTGCCAGGCCTGAAGGCGTCACTGACTCCTGCCCGAGGATGGCCAGGACAAAGACGGGCCCTGCCCCCAACAGGCGGATCAGCTCCGGGGCAAGGAAAGCGGCACAGCCAGTTGGGCACGAGGCCAGTTGGCAGGAAAGGGGAAGCGAGGCCTTTAAAACACCGGAGAAGAGGCTTTGGAAACATTTTCCCTCCTCCAGCCAGGGGAGGTTTGTGCCTCTTTCCCATCCCGGAGGAGCCCACCACCGGTCTGTCTCCCAACAGCTCCTGGGGGCCGTGCTGCATGTGATCAGGCAGCCATGTTTCCTTGGCTAGTCCGCCCACCCCTCAACATGCTATAAAAACTCCACAACCCACCTATACCACAACTTTTTCTGCATATAAAAAGCAGGGCCGGCATTAGGGGGTAGCAAGCAGGGGCCTAGGGTTGCCAGGGGGCCGTTAAAAGTTGGGTGGGCAGCGCAGCGGGGTGAAGGCAGGCTCCCTGCCTGCGTGTGGTTCCCAGAAGCAGCCGACATGTCTGGCACCTAAGTGCAGGGGCGGCCACGGGGGTCCGCGCGCTGCCCTCACCCCAAGTTGTCTGGGAATGTTGCCAATGGGAGCTGCGGGGGCGGTGCCTGTGGGCGAGGGCAGTGCGCAGAGCCCCCTGGCTGCACCTACACCTAGGAGCCGAACATGCCGACTGTGTCCGGGAACCCCACGGAGCCAGGGCAGGCAGGGAGCCTGCCTTCACCCCACTGTGCTGCCGACCCCACCTGAGGTAAGTGCCGCCTAGCTGGGGGCTCTCACCCTGAACCCCTT